GGATATCTTACTAAATGACATCTTAGTTTAAACTACAATTTTTTTTAGTTTGATTATTGAAATATTTCTGAATCATTTTATCGTCTTTTTTTTTTTTTACACCATTCACCAGATTGTAAGTTTCTAGATTTTCAATGCGGTCTCAGACTTTCACACTCCACAGTATATTTCATGTACATTCTGTCTTTTATGCTCCTTTCTTATTCTCTTCCATCTCTGGACTGGTTAGTTGGCAGGTTATTTGGTTGTTGTCAGACTCAGACAGTTGTAGCTCTACTGGAGCTAGGAGATTAGTCCACAGATGTTAATGGGAACCCTTCAGAGCTCCTGCAAACACACATACTGTTCACGCAAACACAAAGCACAGCATGTCGTCATTGATACAACGAATCATACAAATCAGAGACTTTTTTTATTGATGCTAGTACAAAAAAAATACAGTAAAAAGAATGAAGGATGACTATTTTCTTCCCCCAAATTAAGCACTCTATTGTCAGTGAGCGCAAACGTAACACTCTGAACACTTAATAAAATAAAATGACTGGTCATAGAAACACGTCTCACTGTTTGAAGATCTAGAGCTGAAGTCCTGGGCAAGTGGCCATCCACTCTCCGCTGCTAATGACACATCACAGCAGGGATTCAGCGTAATGATAAACACACATCAAGAGCGCCGATATGAGCATCAGAAGCTCTTCTCGGTTTCAGCCTGCAGCACCGTAGGGTAGTTTTACTCCAGCGCACGTGTGAGACGCTTTACTCAGTGTATTCAATGAGCTGGATGGAGTTAACCATACTTACTGTCTGCATTTACAGTAGTCAACATTTTAAGTGGATCAAAAAAGTTAATTAAAGTTGTCCTGACAAGAACGCATTTTGGTTTTTAGACAACTTTGATGAAAGGTTTTGATCCACTTCAAATGTTGACTACTGTATATATGGAGTATGTTTGGTCTGTACTTCAATCTTATTTCGATCAACATAACACAAAAGTTAAAATTGTGTAAGCAAAAGTACATGTGCATGATGCGAGTAAATCCACATCGATCTGCTGGTTGAAGGTCTGTTTGTGGGCAAAAGCAGCAGCTGTAATGCAGGGTGATGTGTTGTGTTATCGGTACTGAACCCTAACACCGTATGTGTCCTCGTTCTTATCCTGTTTGTCATTGATAAAGATGAGAATCTCTTCCATGCCAGGGTTCTGACTCGGAGCTAAGCACAGGCCAATGGTGTAGAGCTCCCCTCCCCCATTCTAAAACAAACACACACACACACACACACACACACACACACAAATTAATAGGTATGTGTTAGTACATATGCACACACTGAAAGTACAGGAATGTCAAAATAAAGAATCAGGTCAAACATAGTATTTGTTTATGACTGGTTCTGAATAGAAAAAGAATAGGGCAAGCTAGTGTTAGAGGCCCTTTTTTGCTTTTTGTTAATTGTATAATAAATCAAATAAATAAAAAGAAAACAAATCGATAGAATAGAAAAAGAATAGAGAAGCTAGTGTTAGTGTTATCACTAGCAGTGCAGCATTTCTAATTTTCATTTATGTTTTTCCTCTAATATATTTAAAAAATTTTATCCAATACGTATACTTTATTTTACAGCTTTATTTCAATGACCAAACATGATTTTTAATAAATTTTCATAACGTTTTAGTTAAAATTGACAAAGCTGGTTCTATAATGTCTGCATTCTTTAGTCAGGCCAGAATGCCTTAATAAAATACAGTACGATCAATACTCATTTTATTTTCTGTTTACTAAATCATTGTTTGTAAAAGAATCAGATTTTTTTTTACAGGAAATGTTCACCTACATTTTTCACCCCAGGATTTTAAACCTGTATCACAATTACAAAATCTTGCCCCCCCCCCCCCCCCCCCCCCCCCCCATATAAATCGAAAAGTGGTCCATATATGACTATACTCCAAATCTCCTGTTGTCATACGATTAAATTCCTATTCCTGAGCTCTGTTGTAACAGAAATTGCACTCCAGTGTTTAGAGGAAGATGAAAGAAATTGCTCTCTCTTTGTCTTTATACATTATCTCTAATGGCTGACTAAGACATATGGAACACAGTTGAGGATTTAGTTCATAATCTCCTCAAAAGTACGCACGTATCGATTCTTCCGTTGTCTTTTGGCTCTGCGCCTATTTTACGATGACACAGTTGTTATTTCTCACAGAGGGAAAAAAGCAACATCTCTGGCTGCATTTCTCAAAAATATAGACGCCATAAATCCAGTGCGAGAGAAGATAATTGAAGCCGTGTTGACTAGCAAGAAAATGGAACAGGCCATTTCCTTTCTTTATGAGCTTCACTGCTCTTATTTGTCACTGAGGTATCATTAATCCATTGTGTTCAATACTGTCACTTGCATATTTTACATTGTTTCGCTATTTATTGCCCAGATATGGGATGTGAAACTCACTAAACCATACAGCGATCGATGAGGGCACTGAATGATGAAATTAACATTTTACCCCGTTCTGTTTTACACCATTTCTGTGCAAAATGATGATCAGGAAAAATTACTTTGTGACCCCTAAAGCCACAGTAATATATCCGAGACACTCTGTCCCTGTGGCTAACTAATGTTCTCTGTCTCCATCTGGAGTAATAGCCAACGGTTGTGTATCGATCACCTAATCAATTAACAGCTTTTAATTGAAGTCTAACGTAGAGCTGTAAGACCTACACGCATCATTCCGAGCCCCCAAGGTGAAAGCTATTGACGTTCCCAGCCCGACTGTGAGAATCTTTCTCTTTTTGTCCCATTTCTTTGGACCGCAGCTTTATGGTTTCCTCAGGGGACCGGCATTGCGAGAGGAGCCAGGGCACAAATTGAGTTCTCCAATATACTGAGAACTTCACATACTGTGAGACGCGTCTAAGAATGACAGTTTAGATGGACACAAATTGATTCCTAGACAGAGGCATGTCAAGATCCTTGTCCTCTGGGCTCTAGACACCTTTCCGTTGAATGGGGCTTTCAAAATATGGTTCTTCTTCAGTGTTAAACAGCAAGGCCTCCTGACAGAATCTGAGATCTGTTGATAGAGCAAGAATTAGCTTTGGGTCCTCTCACCTGAAATTGCTCCTCTTTAAACTGAAGCAGGTCTGGGCGATCTGTGCGCAGATTGAATACTCTGGAGGACGAGTAGGGGTTTGTGAAACTGATTTTCTTATTGCTGCCCTTCCCTCCATCTACAGGGACGCTGATTTCAAACGCCTGGGTAGATTAAAGCACAAGCCGAGAGACGTATTGTAAAATAACTGAAGTAAAAATGTCAGGTTTAAATCACTGGCACTGACTTCATGCACCACATCCTCTGTCACAGAGCTGAAATTTAAAGACCCATTCAATTCTTGCCATTGCTCTGCTAAAAATCTACATAAGCTGAGAAAAACGATCACTGTGGACTATGCATCACATCACACTTATGGGAAAAAAGTGTCAGTTTTGTTGCCGTCTAATCGTTACTAAAAGTAAACCCATTTTATTGGACACTCTATATTGGTACCCACTGGATAGTTGCTAGAAGAGAGCACTTTGCAAGAGGAAGATAAATGACAATCAAGTAGTTATGTACAGTACTCACAGACATCTAATCAAAAAAATAAATAAATGGCAATTATAATTATACTTTTTTCGTTCAACTGATAAAAAATTTAAAGAATACTAGTCTCTATCCATCCATCCATCTGAAGATATTTATGTTAACATTTTGGTTGATGATGTAACAATATATCACGTCACATATTTACATTTAATTTATGCATTTGGTTGACGTTTTTATCCAAAGTAACTTTCACTGCATTCAAGATACTATATACATTTTATCATTTCATGTTTTTCCATGACCTTGACATTGCTAGTGCTATGCTCTGTTGTATGAACTACAGAAATATACATACATTTACATATTAAAACTTAAAAAAATATATTAATTTGGCGTAATAAACAATAATTTCTCAATAATATTAATTGTCATTTACATACTGTATACAGTACCATTCAAAAGTTTGGAGTTATTACAATTTTGTATTCATTTTTTTATGTTTTTAATGAAAACAGTAAGAGTAATATTGTGAAATATTACTATAATTTATGTAGGATATCAGACCGAATCAGACAATCTAAGATTGATCCGCCGTAAAACAGTGATTCTGTCCTAATTCCCTTGCATATTAATGGTGGAGTTCCCTTTAAAATCTTAAATGATTCCCTTTGAGCTAAATTATTGACCTGTTTCCCTTACATTTAAAACAACCATTTTCTATCTGCATATATTTTAATATGTAATTTATTCCTGTAAAGGCAAAGCAGATTTTTCATCAGCCACTGCTCCAGTCTTAAGTGTCACATTCTCCTTCAGAAATCATTCTAATATGCTGGTTTGGTGGTTAAGAAACATTTCTTATTCATTTTTAAAACAATTGTGCTGCTTAATATGTCTGTGAAAACGTCATAACCACTGCTATTTTATAGGATTCTTCGATAAATAGAAAGTTAAAAGGAGCAATATTTATTTGAGGAGCAATATTTTTTTGAACTTGATTTAATTTCCTTTCTGAATAAAAGCATTCAATAAAATAAAAAAATCTTACTGACCCTAAACTCTTGAACAGTAGTCAAGTCAAGTCACCATTATTTATATAGCGCTTTTTGCAATGCAGATAGTGTCAAAACAGCATTACAGTATTAAACAGGGAAATAGTGTGTCTAAATAGTGTGCCGTTCTCCTCTGGCCAGATGAAGCCAGCAGTTTAATTCTAGGTTGCAGCAAAGTCAGATTGTGCAGAGGACTCATCTGGTTCCTGTGGTCTTGTCCCGATGGCCGTCTAGGTGATGAGGTCTTGTAAATAGGTAGTGTAAATAGGTATCGAAAGGTTTATGTGTTATAGTGACAAATCAGTTTCTCTATGAGACAATGAATGTGGTTTGAACCCTACTGTTGCACTCTACAGTTTGCTTACTCACCTTACAGGCTGTCGACATGTGATACACAGCAGCCAGGAGGCAACTAGCTGCTGAGTGTCCACGTCGACTACATTGAGGTAAAAGAAACGGCTTCCAGGGCGCAGAGCCCTCAGACTCACGCAGACATACTGAACTCCCTGAGCAGGAAGAGCAAAAACTTCACCTGGATCCATCTGCAACACACAAATCTCATGATCACAGAGCTTCTGGCATCAAGCACAGAAAACAGAAAACCAACACAGAAAATAACAACTTCAGGGAAACACGAGGCGGCAACTGAAGCTCATAATGTATAGCTACTTTGCCTCATCTTTCTTGGCACCTGCTGTACAACATTAGCGCACGGCCAATTAAACCAACAGTAAGGTCTCTACCAGCACACAGCGCACTGTTGACATGGGAGCTGCTGTATTTGCTCTGCTTGCATATTTCGGATTACAGGAAATACCCATTTTGAGATTTATGCTGCTCGTATAATCCACATGTTCCAGTATTTTTTTTTTAACTTCTGTATGAATTTGCATTAAAGCTCTGCTTTCTTTGCTGCGGTGTGCTGAACCCTGGAAGTTAATGATACTGCTGCAGCCAAAAGAGTTTTATTGTTTTCATCCCCTCAATGTACTTGCCTCGCTCACATAACTTTAACTGCATCTGACTCCACTGTTCTTTACAAATTTTTTGGGAATGCAAAACTACATATTTTCATACTCGACTATGCCTTGCAGTCCTTTGGTTTGGCAACTGACAGATAATCAGCAAATATATAGGCTAAGGAGGCTGAACAAATAGACATGCTAAAAACCTTCTCAGAGTAATTGCACCTCTAAATCCATCTCCTGTAAAATCACTGATGGATGGGGAAAATAATACATTCATTTCTGCTATTAATATAGACTGTTTAACATAAAGCATACAGTGGGTACAGAAAGTATTCAGACCCTGAATACTTAGGACCATGTGTTATTTCAGTTTTTCTTTTTTAATAAATCTGCATAAATGTCAACAATTCTGTGTTTTTCTGTCAATATGGGGTGCTGTGTGTACATTAATGAGGAAAAAAAATTAACTTAAATGATTTTAGCAAATGGCTGCAATATAACAAAGAGTGAAAAATTTAAGGGGGTCTGAATACTTTCCGTACCCACTGTATATGTAAGTATATGTATATAATGAGTTCACTTTTGTTGTGTTTATTTAAATAAAAAAAAAGATAATTTTCATTATGTTCTGCAATTGTTAAGAAATGATAAACAAAAACAGCACTATGACTTGTAGTTTAGGATTATTAAAAGCTAAAACATGTCTTAAATTGAATGTTGCATGTTTATGATTATTATTTAATATAATTTATCAAATATAATATTCAGATACTGGATTGGTAAAAATTAAAGAATTATTTAAAATGTGAAATTACGTAAGATTTACTAATATATATACATTTGGGGATTTAATGTGCAAATATATTTATGGTTTTAATTTAATTATATGCATATATATTATTTATTTATTAGTTAACAATTAGTTATGTCTACAGTGGTACTTTACATAAACAACAATTTGAAATGTTAGGTGTGATTAATTGCAATTCAATCACAGAAAAATATGCAATTAACTAGTGAAACTTTGAAATCATATTCAAAGCCCTCAAAAAAAACACACAATTGGAAATAAAATATACATAACCTAGTCTTCTTACTTACCGTCTCATTATTTTTCATCATTCTCCCATTACAGGAAAAAAGGCCATATAATCCCCCATCAGAGCTCACTTCCCCCAATCAATGTGTTTTCCTTTGACCCCGCAATTCGTACCTGCAGCTCGAGGGGATGCGACGTGTAGCACTTGACCCTGCGAATGGTTTGTGTGCCGTGCAGAACCAGCGAATGCCAGCTCAGAGTGCCACACACACAGCTCAGGTCCATCCTTTGCAGGTAATGCACGTATACCTGCCAGATCTGCACAGGGGAGGCCAGCCAAGGGTCACTGCCATAGAAAGATTGACACAGAGCCGCAGACACACAAAAGACACTTTATCACTTTTCTCCTCATATACACTGACACAATAGCAGGATGGGCCTGACAGGCCCCACTTCCCCTGAGAGAGAGACATGCATATCACGAATCTTCAAAAGAGAGATGTTCAGAAAGACCCAAATGTCAGCGTTTTTAAATTCATCCATTCACCCTTTCTTTAAGAGCATCTCACGTGCTTTGCAGATGTTGATGTCGCTCTGCCTGCCGGGCTTTCTACAGTTGGACTGTATTAAAAATGAAGGACTTTGTGCGTGAGCTCTTCACCCTGCCTCAGGGGCTCAAGCTCAAGGGACAAAATTTGAAGAACATTTGTATCGTCCTTGGTTGCCGAGTTGTCCTTAACAGCAGCTGTTGTAGGGGATAAAAAAACCTACAGCTGATGGATCTCCTGGTTATTATAATTGCTCAAAAACTCAGTTTTGATGGGTTACTGTGTGTCTGATGAGCTTTTCTGTTGTTCAATCATTTTAAACCATTAAGTATATTATGAGCTCACTAATTAGAGTGGATACCAATGCATTTGTTCCACTGACAAACTACATTTTCATTTTTGTAAGATTAAAAGGGGAAAAGAATAAAGCAAACAAAATGATAACGCTGAAGTTTTTAATGTTAAAAAGCTTTAAATCAATGTTAAAGTTAATTTCGCAAAAGAATATATATATAAGTTATATAAAAATGTCAAAATATTTATAAAATCAGTAATAAATAATTTATTTATTTAGTGATTTAATAAAAAAATTGAATATTTCATAAAAAATATGAAATAATGGCCTGTTATGACAAAATAACCAGACAAACAGAGCAGACAATGGCATGAGTTTGGGGCTTGACTATTTGTTTGATAACCAGTAGCAAATGGGTGGAATGTTCAGGAAATATTAGAACATATTATATTATTGTAATAATTATTATAATAGAAACCCCTAAAGGTTTGTGAAGAACTGAATGGGTTGGAAAAAAAAGCTATTTTATAAAAATATAAAATTAACACACTTACTTAAATATATAAAATATGAAAAATACCTGCATGAACAAACAAAAAGAGAACTCATGATCATGCATATGTTTTAATCAATTATGAAAATGGGGGTATGTCAAGTGCAATATTATAGGTTGAATGGGTTTAGTTGAACGAACAAAGTTTGAGAATCTGTGAATTTAAATATGATATAATTACATAATATTATAATATATGGCATTCAGGATAATAGTAGAGTATAAGCATAAAGCATGTGATCTGTCTGCCTTTAATTAATATGTGTTACTTTTTACGTTTGCTGTCACCCTCACTGGGTCCAGTTCCAGAGAGAGATGTGTGATGCGCAGGTTCTAAAATTGTGTTTTTATTCATGTTCACTGATTATGAACTTAGAGATGTCGCAGATTTTGATGAATAAATGAATATTATGATCTGATGCAATCAGACAGTAAATGAGACATCCTGATTAAGCAAATGTCATTAATCACACACGAAGGGATTAATCAGGGACCGGGCTTTCACACACGCACACAGCCAAACACAGAGGTTCGCACGCACACACCTCACCATGCATCTGGAGGAGTGAAAATTAACAGGTTCTCACTTTCCAAAAAAAAAAGAAAAGTGAACTTTTCTGCATGTACTCATAAGCGAGAAGGCGAAAAAGGAGGTGTACATACGTGAAAATGGTGATGAAGAATTTCCTAATCTGTGGACTTGGGCTACCAGGTACTTTCAGGTAAACATCCTGTGGTTCTCCTGGAGTCTAAAGTTTCAAAATCCAAGGAAATTAATGATAAAATAATAACGTTTCATCAGTAATTAAAATACAAATAAATATTTTATTAAAAATATTGTATGAAAAAAAAATATATATAAAAAAATCTTTCATGAAAATATACAAAAATGAATTTTATGAAAAATAAACAAAATATGAAACAAAAATAATAATTTATTAAAAAAATTAAAATGAATGATAAAACTTTGTTTAATTAGTAATGAATATATGATTCATTTTACTGGTTACTAATGGACTACTGGACGAAAAAATGGTAGTCTTTTATGAAAAATATAAAATAATATCATTTTATGAACAAAATAAATCTAAAATAATAAGCCTTAATGAGAAATCTAAAAATAAACATTTTATGAAAACTTAATGTAGAAATTATTGTATAAAACTCAAAAAAATGGAAAATTATGAGAAAAACAATGAAAATAAGAAATTATTCATAAAATAAAAAATATTTTAAAAAGTTTCATTTTATTGGTTTCTAATGAAAACTGTTAAAAAAATGTAATATTATAGTGTATGTAATGACAACCTTTTATGAAACATAAATATAAAATAATCTGTCATTACAAATCTAAGAGTAAATATTTTAAAATGAAAATAATAATTGTGTTAAATTTATATAAAAAGTCAACAGTTGTCAAACAAATAAGTGTGCAGGCCATGACTTCACAATGAGTCAGCACAATGTCTCAAAGACACTAATTAATAACTCATCAACATTCTGATTGGCTGGCTGCTATTAAGCATGGCTCCTGGTTGGCTCACCAGGTTGGTGGTGTGGCAGATGACATTGGGGTCGCTGCAGCGCACATGGAGGGTGGCAGAACCATCTGTGGGCAAGTACAAAAGGAGACAGAGCACAAATGGGGTCTTTAGTTCAGAACTAATAGCAGACACTGAAGCATGTTTGTGTGAGTGGGTTTATGTATGTGCGTCCGCAGCGGCCGAGTTGTTTGTAATGAGCAGCACCTGCTGTGTCGTCCCAGGCTGCAGGCAGGCGAATGGCCTTCTTTAGGAAGGTGAGTTCAGGCTGGTAGAAACGGAAGGCCTGGTCCACCACATGTGGCATGGGTTCAACATCCACCTGGCAGATCGCCAGAGGCTTTCTGTCTTCCCCGCGGAACAGCACCTGGAAGACAAGCAGATCGCTTGCAACCTACACACATTTTGAAAGGCCTTCCTACTAAATGCTAACCGGAGAACTAAATCAATTGAGAAAATAAAAGGAATGTTCCGGGTTCACAACCAGATAAACTGACAGATATCGACCGCATCAGCGACATGCTGTCGATTACCACAGACTTTGTCCCACTGTTTGTAAAAACAGAATTGTGTGTAGATCAGTGATATTTTGAATTAAATTTCATTTTTATATGTCCTGCTTTCATGTTAATTTTAGTTAAGGTTATTGTAATTTTTATTAGTTTTTGTTGTTTTAAAACATACCTATATAGTTTTATTATTTGTATTTTTCAGTTTTAGTTTTAGTTATTTTAGTATTTCAAGTTAAACTAAATTAAAATGAGAAATGTTGCCTAAACTAATAATACGTTTTTTTTTTTTTTTTCAATTAACATTTATTTTATTTCAAGTAACAATAATGTTTTTAGTTTTAGCTAACCATAACCCTGTAATGCACTTACAATGAATGTCTATGGGGCTAGATATCCTGAAAGGTTTAAAAGCAGAAATGTTCATCTTATATTTTTTATACACTTATGTAAAGTATTCTGCACAATGAGAGTTATTTGTCTTGTTGGATATACTTTCAAACAATGCTTGTCTAGGTGGAATGCCTTACCCCATTGACTTCCATTGTAGGTGCATTACTGTAAACATATTTTTGCTTTTTTTAAAAGAGATTAACAAAATTGAACTTGCAACTTGCAACAACATTTCTTTGTAGTTCAGCACCAAACCAGTAAAGCCCACCCTTGAACCAGTATATTGGTCGAAGCTGCTCTTTTCAGCAGAGGTGGTCAAGGTCTACCTCTAAATGACAAGCCTATCTGAAATCATTCCACAGTGAATGAACAGCACTGACAGTATGCAGTGAGATATGAAGTACCGTGAGTCATCTGCAGTCTGAGTGCATAACCTCTCTCGCGTGAGATCCTGTGGAGCTGGCTGTCGGATTCACAGCCCAAGACAACCCATTGACACTCCTCTGGAGGTGATGTCAGTTTGGGCACAGCAATGCTTGACCCCAACTGACCTAAATATGATATGGGAGTCCTGTGTGTGAGTGTGTCAGCAGTACTGCAAGGCATCAGTCTCTCTTGGCTACATATGGCAGGAACAGCCCAAAGGCACAATGAACCACAATGCCATAGAAGAGCACATCAACCCACATAGAATACACAGCTTAAAGGGTTAGTTCATCCAAAAATGACAATTAGCTTGTGTTTTACTTACCCTCGAAGCATCCTAGGTGTATATGACTTTCTTCTTTCAGACGAATCCAGTTACACAACCATTCACTGTGTAAAATATGCATACAATGAAATGTAAAGGTTATAAATAAGATTAAAATAGTTTTTTTCATATTTAATAAATACAATATAATATATTATATTATATAATAATGTATACACTGTATACTTTCATTTTTTCCCACAAAAAATAGAATAAACTGTTTATTACCTTGTTATTGCATTTACCAAAATATTTAATAACAAATATTAAATATTTAATACAATATTTAATGTAAGGGACTGCAAAAGTGTAGACATTTGAGAATGCTGGGCGATTTCTGTGTAAATTTGCAGAATCTGCGTGGACCTGATTATGAAACATAAATTAGAGGCAACAGGACAGTTGATCAATGTTGCTCATTAACACACTTCATTCATTTGAAAGGCTGAAATTAATCAATTTGAATATTAATGGCAGGCTGAAAT